ACCGTCCGAGGATTCATCGTTCGAGGCAGCAACCGTTTGCGGCACCACCATCCGCACCAGTAAAGATGATAACAGTTTCAAATGCAAAATTGATGTTGAAAATTTGATGGCCAAAATAATTTTGGCTTGTGGCAGAGTGAGGTAATGGATAGCTTGTATCAGCAGGATCTAGATATCGTTCTGGAGGAGGAAAACCCAGAAGATGTCTATGAGAAAGACGGGTGAGGTTGAACGTAAAAGCGTGTGGGATGATTCGCTCATGTCTTTGTAAGAGTAGAAATATCCATTCATGAAAGAAACGTCTGCAAATAAGTTATGGAAGGCGCTGGAAAACAATATATGAAAAGAAGTAACGAGAATCGGCTCTATTTGATGAAAAGACTGTTTCGTCTTCAGTTAAGACCAGGTAGAATATTTAGTAGCCATATTGATACATTTAACAGATTAATTGCTGATTTGTTAAATTTGGATGAACATTCAAAGATGAGCATAAGGCTATGTTGTTATTGGATCTCTTCCAGATGAGTTGGACTATCTTATATTACACTTCTTCATGGGAAAGAAAAATTGTCCTTTGAAGAGTTTGTTCTGCTCTGTCCAATCATGAAATTCGGAAGAAGATCAGAGGAGAATAGAGATGAGTCAGCAAAGCTCTTGTAGCAAGAGGGCGGAGTCAAAATCAGAGTCGTAAGAAGAGAGAAGAGGAAGATCTTGTTCAAAGGGAAAACTCAATAGGGATCATGTGCCTTTTGTCGTGAGAAGGGCATTGGAAGAAAGATTGTCCGAAGTTGCAAAAGAAAGAGGGCAAAGCTGCTTCTGATGCATACTTTGTTGAGTGTGAAGAGGATGAGTCAGATTTCTTGTCTAGTTAGCCTACCATCCACCTCTGGAACAAATGAGTGGATTATGGATTCAGTTTGTACCTCATAGGTGTCCCCACAAGGAGTGGTTCTTTAATTTTGAAGAACTTGATGGTGGAGTTGTTTATATGGGCAATGATGATGCTTGTAAACAACTGGGATAGGTTCAATTCGGTTGAAGAATCATGATGGCTCAACTAGAACTCTGACAGATGTTCGGTATGTACCGAAGTTGAAAAAGAATCTCATCTCTTTGGAGCCTTGGAATTTAAAGGCTTCACTTGAATATGCAGATGGAATTCTAAAAGTTTCTTCAGGCGCTCTTGTGGTAATGAAAGGCACGAGGAGAAACAACTTGTATTACTATAATGGTAGTACATTTTATTGAAACGACAGTTGCAGTCGTGCAGAAGGATGCAGATTCAGAAATGCTCAAGCTATGGCATATGCGTTTTGGGCATGCAGGTGAAAAAGCCTTACTTAGTTTGGTGAATCAAGGCTATTGAAAGGTGCAAAGACCTGTAAGCTGGATTTTTGTGAGCATTGTGTTCTGGAAAACAAACAAGAGTGAAATTCGGCACCGCAATCCATAATACTAAGAGTATTTTGGATTATGTTCATTCTGATGTGTGGGACCTACCAAAACAACATCTTTGGGAGGTATGCACTATTTTGTCACTTTTGTAGATGATTTTTCCAGAAGAGTTTGGGTGTATGTGATAAAACCTAAAGATAACGTACTTGGTGTTTTCCTTAAATGGAAAAATGATTGAGACTCAGACTGGCAGAAAGATCAAGCAGCTACGTACAGATAATGGTGGGGAGTATCGTAGTGATCCATTTTTGAAAGTTTGCCAAATGAAGGAATATTACGTCACTTTACAGTAAGAAATATACCACAGCAGAATGGGGTGGCAGAACGCATGAATCGAACTATATTGGAGAAGTTCGATGTATGTTGTCCAATTTTGGGTTGGACAAAGAGTTTTGGGCTGAGGCAGTTATATATGCGTGTCATCTCATTAATCGTCTACCATCAACTGCAATTGAAGGCAAGACGCCGATTGAGGTATGGTCTGGAAAACATGTTTCTGATTATGACTCTTTACATGTTTTTGGTTCCACTGCTATATCATGTGAAGAGTCTAAGTTAGATCCTAGAGCAAGAAAAAGCAGTATTTATGGGGATTACCTCAGGTGTGAAAGGATACCGTTTTTGGTGTCCAAGTTCGAAGAAAATACTGTTTAGTAGGGATGTGACATTTGATGAGTCTTCTGTGTTAGAAAAGAAAACATAAAGCCAGATGAAGGTTTTCAGTACTCCGCAACAGGTGGAGCATACTCAGCAGCAGGTGGAGTTTGAAACAACATCATTTAGCCCAGCTGGAAATGAGACTCCTATGATAGAGGGTTCATTGGAGATGAAGAAGGATTCTTCCCAAGAACCTCAACAAGAATCCATTGCTGTTAATAGGCCAAGACGAGAAATTCGCAAGCCTGCTCGTTTTGCTGATACGGTGGCCTATACACTCCCAATTGAATGGTGAAGTTCTTCCATTTATAATGAAGTAGCTAGCAGTTCCGAAAATGGTAGTGGAGGAAAGCCATGAAAGAAGAGATGCAGTCCTCCATAAGAATGAAACTTGGGAGTTGTTCAATTACCAAAGAATAAGAAGGCAATTGATGCAAATGGTTATATGCAAAGAAAGAAGGATTTCCGAATTTGAAAGACATCCGATACAGGCAAGGTTGGTGGCGAAGGCTACGCTCAGAAGGAAGGAATATATTTCATGAGGTATTTTCTCCAGTTGTAAAGCATTCTTCCATTGAATTTTGTTGGCCTTGGTTGCTCAGGAATCTTGAACTTGTTCAACTTGATGTGAAAACCGCGTTTCTACACGGTGATTTGGAAGAGGAAATCTATATGCACTCAGCTAGAAGGATTTAGAGTATTGGGAAGGAAGATTGGGTTTGTAAACTAAAAAGATCGCTTATGGTTTGAAACATCTCCGAGGCAGTGGTACAAGCGATTTGATAGGTTTACGATGGGTCAGGAGTACACAAGAAGCAAATTTGACAACTGTGTATTTTCAAAGGCTCCAAGGTGATACTCTCATTTATCTACTCTTATATGTTGATGATATGTTGGTTGCTTCAAAGAATGTAAAGAAATTGAGAAGTTAAAGGCTCAACTAAATCAAGAATTTGAGATGAGATTTAGGGGAAGCCAAGAAGATTCTCGGTATGGAGATAATTAGAGAAGAGGAATATGGCAAGGTTTGTTTGACACAAAAGCATTATCTAAAGAAGGTCTTACAACGTTTTGGCATAACTAAAAGTACAAAACCTGTAAGTACTCCACTTGCTCCTCTATAAAGCTTAGTGCGTCATTCTCCAAGTACGCATGAAGAACGAGAGTATATGTCAAAAGTTCCGTATTCAAATGCGGTTGGTAGCTTGATGTATTCAATGGTGTGTACTAGGCCTGACATTTCACATGCAGTTGGAATTGTGAGCAGGTATATGCATGATCCTGGTAAAGGACATTGGCAAGCTGTGAAGTGGATTTTACGGTATTTATAGGTACTGTAAACATTGGTTTGGTTTTTGACGGATGAAAACTTAGTCAATTTGCTGTTGGCTATGTTGATTCTGATTATGCTGGTGATTTGGACAAGCGTCGGTCAACTACTAGATATGTATTTACTCTTGCTAGAGCTCCAGTAAGTTGGAAATCTTCTTTGCAGTCTACAGTTGCTTTGTCTACTACAGAGGCAGAATACATGGCAGTTACAGAGGCTGTGAAGGAAGCTATTTGGTTACAAGGGCTATTGGTGAATTGAAAATTAGTCAGAAGAAGATCACTATCTATTCTGACAGTCAGTGCTATTCACTTAGCAAAGAATCCGTATTCCACTTTCGCACCAAGCATATAGATGTTCGTTACCACTTTGTGCGGGAAATTATTTCTGAAGGAAGAATCTTATTAGAGAAGATTGGGACTGCTGAGAATCCTGCAGATGTCTTAACAAAAGTAGTGCCAATGATCAAGTTCAATCACGTTTGAACTTGATCAACATCCTGCGATCTTGATTGTGCTTTTTGGCACATTTGGAGGTGTTGTAAAATTTGACAAAGAATACAAAACTTTGAAGGTTTGCTAATTCGCCAAGGTGGAGATTTGTTGAAAAATGGCTTTTAGCAAAATCACATGGGGTAGAAATGATAATGGAGAAAGGTTTAGGACTTTATGTAATAGGCCAAGAAAAGGTTGTTTGTCCCACATTGATTAGGTTAAAAGTGGAAACTTTTGGGCCTATATATAAGGACCTAATCATGTTAATTGTATCCCAAGTTGTAATTCCATTATACTTCTTTTGTTTAGGGTTCTTTCTTTAAGGACCCTTTAGTTTGCAAGTTTTGTTGTATCCTCCTTTGTTTTGGGTATTTGTTGTATTGCCCAAAGTTTGTAATATTGTTTGGAGATAGTGGAGTTTTCTTTTGCAACGCCCGAGGACGTAGGTTTTAATACCGAACCTCGTTAATTCCTGGTATCTTTTATTTTGCATTTAATTTGGCAATTTATTTATGCTTTACTACTTGTATTTATATTCAATAAGCTAGCGTTAGAGTTTATGTTTCCGTTGCATAACAATCATGACTTTGCATTATAGAATGCATGTACGTTTATCACCGTCCATCTTGACATCATTTTCTCTTTATGTATATCCATCTTCACTTGATTTCATTTAAACTCTTATGAAAGAAACTGTTTTTTTTTTTAAAGATCGTGGGTGGAAAAATGTATATTAGCCAAACTTTGGGTGGGAAAATATCATTAGCTGGCTCAAATGATAAGAAAACCTCAATTATTTCACATAATATATCCCCAAAAAGAATATAATCATCACAACCCACTTCTCTCAGATTCTTTTAAACTCTCTTAAACTCTCTGCTCTTACTTTTTTGTCAGTGTAACGGTACTTAGATTTATTACAAATTTCTTTATACTTTTGTTTGTTGATCTATTGTCTTCATATTTACATTTTGACGTATGTACGAAGATGTTTAATGAATCATCCGCGAAGATAATCGGGCTTTTGCTCTGTCTCATCCTTCTTTTGTGTGGTTACAGTTGTACGATAAATTAGTTCTTGGATCGGGCCTTGCTCAGTGCGTTGCTCCGTACCTTGATGAACAGACTGGAAAAGCAGTCCCCTGAGTTGATACACCTTGCAGTTGCAGATCAAGAGGGCTTATGTTTAAAGCTAAACCAGTGGAGGGAAATACTTGTCATGTTTATCCATTCTATCGACATAAAGATGAAGGAAAAGGAGTTACTCTCGGACATGAATGTGAAAATATGGCTGGATGACGTCAGAGAATTGGCTGATGATGTGGAGGAGATCCTGGATGAGATTGCCAATCAAGCTTTAATGGCTCCAAGACAGACTATCACAGGTAGGAAATGGTTCCCGGGCTTCATCTCTGCTTATTTCACAGGTTTGATGAAATCAAGTGTGGTTACCGCGTTTTATGATAGTCTGAGTTCCAAAATATCAGATACAAGTAGCCGACTGGAAAAACTCAATACCAAAAGGTATGCACTTGGATTACAGATAGTGGTTTTTACTGTTCAAAGTTGTGGTGATGGACCAATGGAATGGTTTAGGCCATTGCCAACCAAAACTATCTATGACAGAGACAATGATAAAATGAAAATACTTGAAATGCTGCTAATGGGTGAAGCAAGTAATCATACCAACTTTAGTATAATACCCATTATCAGCGTTGCAGAAATTGACAGAGCACGGTTGGCTCGACTTGTGTATGATGATAAGGCAGTGAAGGACTTCAAACCAAGAGCCTGGGTTTCTGGTTCCAAAGATTCTGATGTTTTGAAAATCTCCAAGGCGATTCTGGAATCGATCACCTCTCAATCCTGCGATCTAGAGGATTTAAATGAGGTACTGGTTGAACTGAAAGAAGCTATCATTGGTAATAAATTTTTGTTTGTCTTAGATGATGTTTTGACGAAGAATTATGGTTTGTGGGAAACTCTAAAGTCTTCTTTTATGGCTGGAGCTCCAGGAAGCAAGATAATAGTGACAACCTGCAGAGTAGATATTGAGTTCCCAATCGATCTCAATATTCAACCTTATACATTAGGGGAATTGTCGAATGAAGCTTGCTGGTCCTTGTTCAAGATGCATGCATTTGATCGGGAGGATAGTGGTGTTTACAAAAATTTAGAATTAATTCGTGAGAAAGTTTTGGATATGTGTAAAGGTTTACCTTTAGCAGCAAGAATTCTTGGTGGCCTTCTGCGTTTTGAGAGTCGAGATTTGAATGGGAAGAAGTATTGAACAAAGAAATATTTGATTTAGCAGAAGATAATGAGATTCTTCCTTTCCTCAAATTAAGCTATGACTATCTTTCTTCATCTTTCAAAAGGTGTTTTGCGTATTGTGCGATTTTGCCTAAGGATTATGAATTCGACAAAGAAGAACTTGTTTTTCTATGGATGGCAGAAGGTCTTATTGGAGGACCACTAGAGTATCAGCAAGTGGAGTATCAGTCATGGGACAATGATCAAATGGAAGATAGAGGCAGTAAGGTTTTCCAAGAGCTATTGGAAAGGTCTCTCTTCCAACATTCAAGTAGTCATGCTTCCAAATTTAGAATGCATGACCTCATCAAAAGTATGGCACGATGGATTTGTGGAGAAACAGATTTTAGAGATGATGTGTTGGGGGTCAATAACCAACCGAGAAGATTCAGAAGGGCTTGTCATTCTGACACTTCAGCTAGTTGTGATGGGAAAAATAAATTTGAGCTATACTATGATGTTGAGCGCTTACGGACATTTCTTCCGGGACTCATACGTGGTGATGATACCCATTACATTACTGATGTGCTTCTTTCTGATTTGCTACCAAAGTTTAAAAGACTGAGGGCGTTATCTTTGGAAAAGCAACATATTACTCGGTTACCCCATTCTGTTGAAGGTTCGAGATATCTAAGATATGTCAACCTTTCTGACACTATGATCTCAAGGTTACCTGATTCAATATGTTCGCTACACATGTTGCAAATTTTGCTATTAAGAGATTGCTCTCATCTGGTAGAGTTGCCTTCCAATCTGAGGAATTTGATCAATCTACGACACCTTGACATTACAGGATTCAACTTAATAAGGGAAATGCCGCTGGGAATGAAAGAGTTGAAATGTCTTAGAGCATTACTCAATTTTATTGTTGGCAAAGGTGTGGGATCTGATTTGAAAGACGTGGAGAGCTTAAAATATCTTCGTGAGCTTTACATTTCAGGATTAAACAATGTAACTGGTTCATAGGATACAAAGGACTCCATATTAGTTGATAGGAAGAGTCTAAAAGTGCTGGTATTAGAGTGGGGTTCTCAATTGGATGACACACGAGATGAGTTAGTTGAAGAAAAGGTACTGGCCATGCTACAAACTCACCAAAATCTGAAAGAACTCACAATCAAAGGCTACGGTGGCACAAGATTTCCATCTTGGGTTGGAGATCGAAAATATTTTAACATAGTGGTCTTAACATTGGAAAGATGTGAAAAGTGCACAGTCTTGCCTCCCCTTGGATGCTTGTCCTCACTTGAGCGCCTCACCATCAAAGGAATGACAAGAATAAAAAGGATAGGTTCTGAGATTTTTGGAACTCTGGTGAACTCGCTGAAGACTCTATGTTTTGAGGATTTGCCAGAATGGGAGCATTGGGATCCTGTTGGAGGAAATAAGCGGGTTCACCCATTCTTTTGCTTGTGCGAGCTATCCCTTGTGAAATGCCCCAAACTCAGTGGAAAATTACCTGAATTTCATCAGGTTACTTTGCTGTGTAAACTTACAATTCAGGAATGTGGGCGGTTAGTGGTTTCGTTCCTAAACGTCCCACTGTCTTGCGAAGTAACGATAGATGGAGGCAAGATGCTGTGCGGTAGTCAAACTTCACTCCAAGAAAACGAAGGTGAGTTTGCCATTTTCTGATTTTTTTTTTTTTTCAATAAATGTTCTTTCTTCTTGAATGCAATGCTTGTTTCAAAATTTTCAGAGTTGAGTACTTGATGTTTATAATTTGTATATTAAGAGGAAAAAAATTCATAGCTGCTCTTCTTGCTAATAGTAAGACGAAGGTTGCAACTTTTTTTTCTTTTTTTTTTTTTTTTTTTAGTCTAAATAAATCACATGCTTTCGCAATCTTCTTGTTTCATTATATCCAAGGTCTTTTGCTTGCTTTCTTGTTCCTTCATCTAATTACTTTGTCTATATATCTTACTTCTTTAGCTGTGCATCTTATTCACGTTCAGTTATTTATAATTTGTATGATGTAGAGATTAATATCAACAATTTACATCTTGTTTTAATCAATGATCTATAGTTTAATTACCTTACAATTGCTTTTTTATGCAGGATTATGTGAGTAATTAATTGCGTGAATACTATGTTGAATTGGAGGAAGGCAATATTGATGTCTAAAGTTTGTGTGTTTTTTATTGAATAAATCTTAAAGACTCTGCTTCTTTTTCTTTTCGGTGCACTTTCGATGGAATATCATCTGTGTGTGTTTATTTTGAATCTTTATAATAATGTAAAAGACTCATTTTTACTTTTTTGTTTCTATGCACTTTTCATCGATATCACATTGAGGATTTTATTTCAGAGCAGCAGGACTCAGTATATATGATGTGCTAGTTTAACTGGTATTTACGTTTGTTATTGGGAGCTTTTGCCATCTCGGTTGTGAAGTATTTGCACTCCTCCCATTCTTCCTATCTTACATTTACTGCATTAATCTTTTTTCGCAAATCATGGATGATTGGCGTTCTGGCAATGAATGTTTTGTTTATTTATCATATTATGAAATATTTATGTAAAAAAAGAGGACCTTGTTTTATGATATTTACTGCACACTTATGGTGAGACCAAAATGTTGAAAGAAAAAATCAACGAAAAGGTGGATTCATGGCTCTCTAGAAACAAGAAAGCTTGTTCAAACATTGTCCTTTAAACTGCTTTGCTCACTTATGTTTCGGGAATCTGGATGGATTACTATTTTCCCAAAAAGTGAGCGTCAAGTTGTTGGTCACTTAAGTCCTTTAAACATAGTTGTTTGATTGTAAACCAATCTGCAAGCTACATCAAAAATTTCATGTTCATTGCCTCAAAATTAAACAAAATGTTGTTTCCAACATTACAACCTACATTGATGAACAAGATTAATTACAAAAGCCCCCTGCCACCTGCAATGCCAATTCCGGCCACCACCGCTAGAATCTAGTCGAAAAATTGCGTTACAACATAGACCCTTGGATCTGTGTCCTAACACGTCGATCTAGCCTTTTCCCCGGCCTCAACGGCCAATCCTCCACTGACTCGTCGAAAAATGCCAGATAGATGCATTAAGACACAGATCCAATGGTCTGTGTCGTAACGCAATTTTCCAACCAGATTCTGGCCTCGACGCCAGATCTACGCTTTACGACACAGATCCATGGTCTATTTCGTAAAACGTAGATCTAGCATTAAGGCAATTTTTTCGGCCAAATTCCAATGGTGAGGGCTAAATCTGGCACTGTGGGTGGCGGGGGTGTTTTTGTTATTTTATAAATTTTTTATATATTGGGGTTATTAATCAAATTAGCAAACCTAAGGGTTTTTTAGAAATTTTTAAATTTATAAAAACTAAAATATCAACTTCAAGGCATTTTAGTCTTTTCACTATTATCAGATGAAAATTACTAACAGAACATGACGGAAGGTACCTATTGTTGTTTCAAAACCTTTGGGTACCAACTTTGTCGTTTTGCCAAACCTTGGGTATGCGTAAGTCGTTCGGCATAGAAATAATTTAATCACACTATCTGAGTGTCTTTTCACATATCACCCTTCTCTTGTGTGACAGTTCTCAACCATGTTAACTCGCTCCATCATACACTCGGTACGTTGCTGGAAAGAATGAGGCTGAAGTCTTATGAGATGAAGCGATTGTAGGTCAAGAGGCGCTATGCTCAATTCTAGAGAAGTGGCTGGAAATCTTAACATATTTATGAAAGTAGTTCCGGAGGAAAATGCAAGAAACAGACCAATGTGGATGTGAAAGTGTGGCTGTATGATGTCCAAAACGTGATTGAAATTTGAAGGACATACTGAATGAATTTGAGTTATTGGCTGCTCGTCAGAGTCAGACCACAGGCAAGAAAAGTTCTTAATGTCCCTGCTCGTTTTAGGGTTTGAATCCGATTGTAGTGTTGGATGGTGATTTGAGCTCTAAGATAATGGATATAACTAACCGATTGAAGAACTCGACAGGAAAAGAAATGCACTTGGACTGAGAGTCATTTCAGTCCCTGCGTCATTACCCTTTTTCTCGTTCAACCTATTTTGTAGAAGCAAGCGTGCCATGGCATGGGAAAAGGAGTGCCACGACATGAAAGAAAGACTTTCTCCAAAATCAGTCGCAGGGTTCCATGCCACAGCCAAGAAAGGAATGCAGCGGCTTGAAGAAAAGAGTTTGCATCAAGGAATTCTAGAGAGCTTAGTGCCGTAACATTTGCAAAAGTCATCCACAACTCAAGAATAATGCTGCTGCATTCAGAAACCATCACGGTGCGAGTCTGAGGAAGAGTCCCAGAATTGACCCGAGCACATGCCACTGCACACCAAAAAGTGTTGATCAAGCTGATATTATGCTGGAAACTGCATGTAGGATGTCAACTTTTGGAATCTGATGCTGCAAGGTTGTGGCAAAGTTTAAATTCTGCTGCGTGTTTTTTGGTTCTACTGTTCTTTGGAGCTCAATCTTTAAATCATGTAATGTTAATTTGGTGGATTCAGCTGTAAATCAGCTAGTCAGGTGTTGTGTGCTAGCAGAATTAACAGTTGGATATGTGTCTGGCCAGTCTATAAAGGCACCATTATTCTATCCTTTTTTAGTCTAGCTATATATAGAAGAGTATATTGTATATATGCATAGAATTGATAGGCGTTATTCTTACCTTGCATAGTCCTGTGTAATGGCTGATTTTCAGCCTTGTAATTAGCCTGACAGCTTCTATATAAAGGGAGCAACTCTCACAAGGAGAAATACAGAAATAAACCCATATTGACATGGTATCAAGGCCACAAATTATTTTCGTGGTTTTCTCTCGGCTTGTCTGAATTCCCCTCTTGTTTTCTTTTCGGTAATTTTTTTTTTGGTCTTGCTTAGGGGCTTCTGGCTCTTGGTTTTCTTTGCTTGGTGGCTGTCGGTTGGAGTATTTCTGGTTGTGACGAATTCTTGGTGATTGTTGACAGATTCTGGAGGGGTATTTTTGGTGAATCAGGTTTATACTTTCTAATTATAATTTTGTCGCAATTCTGGTCAATTCTGGTTTGGGTGTGTGACTATCGGCATTTTTTTGGTGTTGTTGGGCTGTTGCAATTTTGTTCCACTAACTGTTGTGATTTCTCTGCTCTATAATTTTTTTTTTTTTTTTTTTTTTTTTGTGGTTATTATGTCTGGAGAAAATTCTATTGTTCGCTTTAATGGCAAGAACTACGCCAGTTGGAATTTCAGTTCAGGATGTTTGTGAAAGGGAGGAGTTATGGGGTCTTTGGATGGGTCTTCTAAGCCCCAACTGATCCCAGGAACTTAGTTTTGGAAAGCAAGGATGCCAAAATTGCTTCCTGGCTACTCAGCTCTATGAACTCATATGTCAACAATCTTCGTGGGTTCACTATTGTTAAGGCAATGTGGGATTATCTTCGACGAATTTATTATCAGATATTCTGCTCGAAAGTTTCAATTGGAGTTGGACATTGGAAACTATCGCCAGGGGAATCTCTCCATTGAGCAATTTATTCTGGTTTTATTAATCTATGGAGTGATTATTCTGGGTTGGTGCAGTCGCAGGTTCCCAAAGCAGCTTTCACAACACTACAAATGGTTCACTCTGAGAGCCAGCGAATCAATTCTTGATGAAGCTCAGACCCAGTTTGAAAGTGCAAGAGCGGTTAACAATTGCACACCTGTCCCCTCTTTGGAGTTTTGCTTAGTGAACTCTTGCGTGAAGAATAGCGTCTTGCCTCACGCTAGGCCTTGATCAAGACGCTAGTGGTTCTGATGGTTAATATGGCATACGTTCTCAAGGCAGAGGACGATCTAGATCTCCACCACAATGTTATAGTTGCGTAGGAAGCATCACAATATGAGCAAGAAATTCTGTAATTATTGTAAGAAGGAGGGTCATATCATTAAGGATTGTCGTGTACGCCCTCAAAATTGATCCGCTCTTGCTTTTCATTCTGCTGTTCAGTCTACATTTGTGCCTATCTCTTCCTCCTGCCCGCTGTACCATTCTTCTTCCAACTACTCCTAAGCAGGTTCAACAAATGATTATTTCTGCCCTTTCTGCTCTTGTCTTCAAGGTAAGACACATCTCCTTACTTCTCCTTGTTAATTGACTCTACGGCTTCCAATCACATGACTGCAGTTTGACAGCTTTACAAGATTTTCGTAAGTATATGGTGAGCAGCATATTTAGACGCAGATGGCAGTACTCTTCCCATTACACAGTTGAAATCTGGGTCTTTTCTTACTAATGTTTCGTTCTCTCTGATTTATCTGCTAATCTCATTTCTGTTGGACAATTAGTAGAAGATAATTGTTCTATTCATTTTGATCGTCTGGTTGTCATGTGCAGGATCAAGCGTCGGGACAGGAGATAGCGAAGGGGCTTAAAGTGGGACATCTTTTCCTCAGTTGTTTTGTTGTTTTTGTTCAATTCTGCTTTTGTGTTGTTCTCTATTGCTATAATAATAATCCATTTGGGCAGAAATTAGGTCTCCCAACTCTGTCATTTTGACACATCTTATGAAACATGGTTATTTAGTAATACAAATAAGTTTCTTCCTTGTCTTTTGATTGTGCCCTGGTAAACTAGGAAAACAAATCTTTCCTTTTCCTTTGCAAGTAGTCGTCTTTCTACATGTTTGAAATATTCATTCTGATGTTTGGGGTATGAGTCCTGTTTTTTCTCATGCTCAATACAGGTTTTTGTGACTTTATTGATGATTACAGTCGTTTCACATGGGTTTATTTCTTCGTTCTAAAGCTGATGTGTTTTTAACCTTTAAACTTTTGTTGCCTATGTAAACCCAATTTTCTACGTATTAAGATCTTACGTTCAGATTCTGGGGGAGAAACATGTCCATGCTTTTCAATCTTTTCTCCAACAGAAGGGTATTCTTTCTCAGCGTTCGTGTCCTTACACCCCTTAACAAAATGGCGTCGCTAAGCGTAAGAATAGACATCTTTTAGATGTTGTTCGTACACTTGATGCTTGAATCGTCTGTCCCTACTAGATTTTGGGTAGAAGCATTATCTACAACTGTATATTTGATTATCGTCTCCCTTCTCCTACCCTTGCATCTTGATTCTCCATATTCTCGTTTGTTTGTGTTCCTCCTGATTACAATACTTTGCATGTTTTTGGTTGCGTTTGTTTTGTTCACTTACCCCATTGAATGTCACAAGCTTGCTGCCCAATCTGTTTAGTGTGCTCTTCTTGGCTATAGTAACTCTCATAAAGGATTTGTGTGTTATATGCGGATCTAACAAACTTCATATTTCTCGCAATGTGATTTTTTTTAAAATCATATTTCTTTTCGTCTCGTACTAATCTGTT